GCACTACTGACTCTCAAGTCAACAGCTATTCCTGTTTTTCGACCAAAAAGACCTGTACCTTATGCTTCTCTCCCAGTAGTTGAACAGGAACTGGAACGACTTCAAAAAGTGGGTGTTATTGAACCTGTAAGTTTCTCCAAATGGGCTGCACCGATTGTGGTGTCAATGTCATCACAGTCCTCTTGACCACCAGGTGAGAGAGAAAGAAGGGGTACCTTATCTGACTCCTGTTTTCACTCGGAACGAGTCTGAAAGCTGTTATCCATGCATGAGCTTTAGTCTTATCCATCATAGTAAATCTGAATGATGTTGAAAATCTTCTTATAGCGTCAAGGAAGTCTCCATGATGCCGTCCTATCCACTTTGTGAAATACTTTCTCGTAGTCAGTGAAATTGATGTACAGTGGTGAATTCCATTCAGTTAATTGGTAGTGACTTGTAGTGTCGCCGGCGATTTGGTCGGTGCACAAATGATCTTTACTTAATCTAGGCTGCTGATCTCGAAGTAGGGTGTCTAGTAAATCTTTCATTCAGCCTAACAATATTCTGTTGAAGACTTTTCCTAGTATTGAGAGAAAAGTAATGCCTAGGTAATTTACTCAATTACTTCGGCCTCCTTTCTTTGGTATCCTGATGATGTGTTCTCTCCAGTCTGTCGGTACTTGATCCTATGCACAATTGTTGCTGAAGTGAATTGTTGAGGAAGTTAGATCCCAAAAACTCACCTGATAAAGGTCTTAATTGTGGATTTAATTCATGTGCTCATCAACTGACCTTAAGATCAAAGTTCCTACTACGAAAATCCTTGGCTGTGATTAGTTACTGTGTTTTTTAGTGTGCTATTTTTGTGACTCTCCCAAGGACGTTTCTATGGTGTATTATTAAACGCGATTTCTGTGCTTGATTTATTGAGTTTGCTGAGTGTTTGTAGAATACAATTTCTACCTTTTCTTAAGCTCCTTTGGGTCAACCGATCAGACTAGCTTATCGTATCACTGGTCCATTGTCTCGTTCTCAATCATCGACTAAGGTGAACCCGTCATAGTTTCAAGCATATCACGTGATGAACATAACAAGAATGTGGAATCTTTTGTACTTACTGTTACCCCTGCTGTAAGGTTTTCCGGTCCTTCCGTTCTCATGCTCTTCATTTGTCCTATGGAAATGCTGGTCCCTCCAAACGTAGGTAGGTCGACACAAACTTGAAGGTCTGTGGGTGCAGCTTCGACGTTGGGTTGGTGCAATGGAGTTGATCTACTGAAAAGATCTCCAGAGTTCTCCTCGATGTAGTTCATTGGTTTGTCTTCTTTGCGTTTTCTTGTTCATTCTTGTTTACGATAATTTGCAGAGTTTGTTGTATCGTACAATCGTCTCATGTTTTCTTCTCTTGCCGCCTAATCCACCGACATTGCTAGATCTTCCACATTTTTACGATTGTCAACTCTGATGCTCTTCGCCTGCATGTTTGCTTCTGTGTGTTCAGCTGGTGCTTTGGCTTTCTCGGATCTTGTTCGTCTGATGCTGATTGCTGCCTTCTTGTCTCTTCTTTATTGAATCTTATCCAGATTATGCAGGTAGATTTTCTAGGCCATAACCTCCCGACATGTTGAAGTGATTGCCTCCTTGAAACCTTTTCAATTGTTCTTCATGTTTGCTCACTCTCCACTGAGTAAATCGTGAAAGCCCTGGACCCGATTTCTCAAGGCCATCTTGAAATCTTTGAGTTTTACGGTATCCCGAAGAAATGCCTTATTAGACTTTTTTGATACCGTCCGCCCCGTTGTCAAGCGCTTCTCGAGTTTCAGTTTCCTCTTAACGAATAGCAGGTAATAACATAGGGCTATTTTTGATATCCCCTTGGTTCTTACGTCCTCCAACGTACATCTGAACTTGTTGTAGATGCAGATACTGTTGATCTGGTTCTGTTTAGTTGTGTTATCCGGTGAAACGCATGTTGTTTTGTGTACACCTTTGTGTGGGAATATAGTCTCGCCTATGACCAGTTTTTCGACGACATACAATTAATTAATCTCTCAGCCGTTCTGTTCCTTTCTTCCAGTCTGAGTAGTCAAATAATGTCTTTATATCCACTGTTATCTGTTCAAACTTTGGCATTTAGGTCTCCCATCAGAATGGCCTAATTCTTTGATGAGTATCTCTCGAAAATTGACTGCGAATAGCATTGAATAACGTTCATTGTGATGCCATCCTGCTTGGTTTTGAAAGATGTATATTTGATCTTGGCTGTATGAGATTCTTATCGTAGCAGTACATTCTGGGGTTTGTTTAGACAGCATCTGTAGAAACTTTTTTGAATGTTTTGTTTTTTGGAAAATCCCTCCATGTATATATATTTGTATTATGATATGACTGACTCTCTCTGTTGACATTTTGGCGTTCTATTTGATTCCATTTTGAGATTTTATCATTGTATATTGTTGTTATTCTATATCTTGTACTTATATTGAAGTTTTATGTTTGCTTCGGAACTGTACACATGTTGTTTAAATTTGATATTTAATATGTCTACGGCCATATTTGGATTTGATACCGTAGCAGTACGGACTGGAAGCACTTATTCTTCCAGGAACGGATACCCACCGCGTTAAATTGGATTTAGAAGGTGTAATATTGTTGGGTAATTGTCTGTATTTCCATTTTATATTAAATAAAGACCGTTTTCTCCCAGAATTATTGTGTTTTTTTTTACGGATCTGGGCCAGCGCGTACCAACCTGCACCTATTGGAGCCGGAGTGAACTGCTAGGGTAAAAAATTCATTTATAGCATCTGTGCATTTCGTTCATGCCTAGCATTTTCTTCTATATGGATGGAGACTCACAGCAGCGCTCCTGAAGCTAGATTTAGTTGACAGAACTCCGTTCAATGTTTTTCACTGATTAAAATCATCTCCAGTTTGTGTCTTTCCATTTCCGCAGCAACTTGGATCACTCTCCCAGTCTCCAACATTGTACCCAAATTAGTGAATTCTCTGGTTTTCAGAAGTGGCATCGGCCTCCTTACTTGCGAAGGAACTCCGTTTTCGCCATGAGACATCTAAACTCTTCTAAATGCAGACATTCTAACTGCAAGAGAAGAGTTTAAGTGATTTTAATTACTCTTTCTCATCAGGGTTTTTAATCGAGTTGGTTTTCTACAACGTGTGATCGCTAACCCAACGTCTAACTGTCCTCATTTATCTGGGCTTTGTATGAGTAGTAACAACAGGCGGATCCAATTGGAATCTTGCTTTCACATGCAGCAACCTAAAAATATAGTTTTACACCCACCTTCACGAATAGTTGGGTTCTGATTGCCTTACATTTTTGGCCAAGATATCTTTTCAAGTCAAATGGTTTACGCTTTATCCAAAATGTATTCGTCTTCTGCATACACATTTCCAGCTGTGGGTAAAAAATTTCCTATGAGCTATTACAAGGATGATTGTGAAACATGAGAAGTGATATTATAACATATTCTCCCCGTTGCAAAGTTACACGATATCTTGATTGAAAGTTCAGTAATGCAAACCGAAAGTGTCACACATACCTTGAAGTTCTTACGGTTTCTTGATTATTGTTGAACCTAGTAGCTTACAATCACGACCAAAAATTGTCTAACGTACAACAGACATGTTTTCATACTGCACATTCCTCAGTAGTTTACTTCTGAAATGAAAATAATGGGTATGTGTAGTCCTAAACAAGATGGAATTTTTTTCCTCTTACGGTTTGGGATTCACTTGACGCACTTTCGAATTCAACAATGCTTCTGAACCTAGAGGTTTAAATGGGTGGATATATAGGTTGAGATACATCACCTAGGTCGAGTAATATCTGTTTTACAGGTAGCAATACACAAAGTACAGAGTAAGAGCTAAACAGGAAAACAACTTCGCTAGTTCTCCGTTATCTGCCGAAGTTATTACTGTCGTTTGAGTTGGATATTTAACGTTTGTAATTCAAAAGGCATTTAAAAATTCCGTTTGAATTTTATGCAAAAACAGTATTTATGGTCCTAGAAAATGTTAAGTTACTGATTTTGAAGCCCTTTTGTTTTCTAGAATTAGTCAAGTTTTGAACATAAGCGGCGAAACTCTGCAGAGCAACTAATTTCTGGGTACAAGCTACAAGTCAAAAAGGAGGTCAAAGTGTAGAGTACCAAAAAGGTCACTTGACGTTCTTTGGAATGAATTTGAAATTTCGCTTTGGAAATAAAATACCTAAATATAAGAATACATGGACACCATGCAACTTATCGCAGTTCAAATCTGAAATGGCCACTCCTAAACAAGCGTCTTACCGATACATCATCACTACTCATCTTGGGGCAATCCTCGAAAAATCGCACATCAAAGAGCGAATACTCAAGTTCGTGCACACTTTTTCTCATCGACAGTCGTAGCATCTTGGAATGCTCTTTCAACCGAGGTGATCATAGCCTCCTGAATGGACAGCTTTAGGAGAGAATTGATAATCACGTAATCACTTACGGATTATCATCTCCCTCGTGGACAAGCTGTGCCTGATGCGTATCCTGGGTCCTTCTAGTTGCCACCTCCTCAGATCACTTATTTGATCTGTCTCTCCTGTTGTCTTTGTTTCTTCTCCCTTGCTTACACTTCGGTCCTCTCTCACAATCTTCACTACCAATTAATAAACTAAATTATCTATTGACTTACTTAGTTCTGAAGTCTTATTCATATTAGCATTAGAACTTTATCCTTATCATTCTTCATATTGCAACTAACTGATCTCCGGTCTGGTAATGTGACGGCTGATGGTATCCACAAACCCTACTGTCCTGAAACAAACGTTTTCATTCAAGTCCCGAGACATACAAACTCACAAGTAACTGCCAAATGACTAGAATTAGACAGTCAAGTGGCTAGACCTCCACCCATTAAACATTACCGAACACCTGGAACAGTACAGAAAGAACAAGAATCGAGCGCGAAGAAATCAAATTGGTTTACACTAACTCGAGAAAAATATATTGGATATTGGAAAGGTCGCCGTCGCGGATAACCGGTGGCTTTGAAATAACTTGAGGTTTTTACTTATCATCTTATTGTTTTACAACTTTCATTATTTGTGGTAGGTTTTTCAGTTAAAACCCAGTTTTATTAAATCACTTACTGATGCATGTGATGCGACTTCTCCAGTTAGGGCCTTTTAATAATTGGCGTCGATAGGTAGGACAAGGTCATACATGGATATAGTGTTTTTATATTTTTTCAGACAGCGCAGTCCAAAACACTTAAAAATTGGCATACATTAGGTCCGATACAATAGACCTTCGAGCTATCTGACTGCAGCTCTTGCAGAACACCCAGCTGTAATGGAGTGTTTGACATATGATGGTATACGCAAATACTTGTTGTCTATAAACTGATTTATGCTGATTGGTTAAATAATCCAAATAGTGTTGAGTGGGAATAAACTCCGGAAACAATGCATTAATTCAGATCGGAGATAATTAGAACACCATTGATGAGATATCACCGACAAAGGTTATAGAATAGAAAGATTGATATGTAATTATAAAACGCCACATTGCAGTACAGCAGCTGGTATAGATTTCCGCTCATTATGGTCACTCCTAAAAGCTTTAAATTATCTTAACCGAAAGTTTCGAATTCCATAACTGACCAATGTAACACAGCATCCTGAATACCATATCTAGGCTGCTAGTCCGTATTGGATCAGAAATCTGGATACCTTTGAACGTATCCGAAGAGCAGGTATTATATGAATGACAGAATTTTCCGATCCATCTCACAATAAGCTACTAAAAGACTCAAACCTTTTGGAATAGCATATTTTTAAATGTGCAACGTGATCTTATCTAGGTATTTTGTATCTTAAATAATGATTTTGATTTGAGCATTTCACAAATAATCATTTCTGAGGTGATCAGGAACAAGTTCCAAAATACAAAGTTGCATCGAATTACGGTAGAATAAGTTTCATAGTTAATCTAAAATGACCGACTACTGGACGTTGCAATCAAATCAGAAGTTCATTTTACATGAACATATTCGTAATTTTTATGTAGTGTAAGCAGTTATTGCGATGTGAGTAACGAAATTGCTGATATAATTGTATGAACCTTTGGCCTAGGTCGAAAACCAGCATGGTTTTCTCCGGTCTTCTCTTCACCGACTCTAGTTAGACGTTCGAATATTATTGGGGCCAATATTGAAATCTGTCAGATGAGATTATACCCAGTTGCCAGATTCTATCTAAGATCTCAGTCAATCAACCTGTTAAAACTGGACCACTATCCTTAACAATCCCAGAGGTAAGCCTATCATGAATGACATGATTCAAAATAGTTTGCAATGGCGCAGATTCATCCACTCTTTGTATTCTCTCAAAGTCTAATCTTCAGAATTCCTCATCACCTCTATCTTTCTCTTTCTAAATTTATCTCACTCTATTATACTTGTTAAATAATATCTTCAAACCCTAATCTTCTCCAATTACTGCTAATACTTCTACTACCTCTACCTCTATAGGATTCGAACTGACAGTTTGCATCTTTGTGCTAATGTGGTATGGCAACTTGAACTGATGTATGCACGTACAAAGTTCTAGGTTGTAACACACTGGCCGAATGTAATCATTGTATACAACTAACGTTGTAACATGTCATGCAAAAACTTTTGTGCTCTTATCATCGGTACTTATATATATATCACCGTTTTTAAACATTAAAATGTTTTTCAATTATTTTATCAATTACAAAAACTATATATAAATAACTTTCATTGCCTGCATTTTTGGATTAAACTAGATCAACTTCTATCTATGATTACTTTCGCATAAAGTACAACTGGAAGTGAAAACCAAACTGAACCCAGAAATTCTATAACGTGTCTCTTAAAGGAAAATACCTTTTAACAACTAAACTTCAAAACAAAACTCTACTAAATGGGATCTCCAACAGATTTAATCACTTATAGTCCAGTTGCTGCACAACATAATCTTGCTTTAGTGAATTATTGTCGTATATCGATTGCATCACTTTCTGGATGTACAGCTGGAATATTAGGTTTAACAGGTAAAAAAGAAAAAAATTAATTAATTCTCTAATAACATCTAGGATTAATGGGATTTATGTTTTATTTTTTGGCGCATGGTTTTCTATCCTTGTTATTATTACAAAAAGCAGGCAAATCATGGAATAAATATTTTATTCAACGTTCATGTTTAACATATGGTGGAGTATTTGGTGAATTAACTACGTATATTTTATTTTGGACATTTATTTATGGAATGGTTCATGTATATTAATTATATAATCTAAATAATAATAATAATAATATATTTAACTATTTTGTTTAAAATGAACTCTGTTTTTATCTTCATATCCCGACCGAAGCTGCTACCTTGACGTGGTGGTCGGGCTTGCCTATCGTGATGACCCAACCGAGCTATACTGGCTGGAACATATGTTCCTGCAGGTCCTACCATGCCAGGCTGGTCGATTGGAGAACGATGAGACTAAAAGCAGCTACCCAAGGTCTGAGGGCGAAGTCGTACTGCTGACTGCAGAGGCGTGTGACAGCAGTAAGGTGTTTCCCTCGGACAACCAGCATCTGCAGCGATGCTGCCTTCTCACAAGGAAGGAAGGGTTAGAAAAGGTCGGCCCTAAAAATGTCACACTCCCCCTAACTCACGGATTTCCGTCTCCTTGGGTAAGGGTGCCCACTAATAGCCTTTAAGAACGGAGCTAATTCTCAAAATACCTTTCATAAAAAGGCCGTGCGTGACCGGCCTCAAGCAGTTGTCCCTTGGGCTCTGCGGTCACGCACCAACACTAATCCATCTTCCTTTTCAGGTCCCTCAAGAAACAACCTTCCACGGTGTGGGCAGCCGGGAAGTGACAACCGCCCTCATACCCGCAACAGCACGCGAGACCAAATTGGTCAAAATCAAATCCTTCCTACACCCCCTAACGTCTCTTTTATCTCTACAACTAACTCTACTCACACTCCCTTTTCTCACTGCACCGCTAATGCAGACGAAGCGAGATCACGAAACGTCGTTCCTGGTCTCTTGAAACCCCGTTCTAGACTACATATTGGAGCTCTTAATGTACGGACATTGTGTCAAATAGGGCAACAGGCATCATTAGCTAGGACTTTAGAAACTCGTGCCATCGATGTATGCTGCGTCTCGGAAACGCGCATACAGGATCCTAGTAAAGTCATTAACCTGATTCCACCTTGTCAAAACGAAGAAGCAGCTCGATTTACTCTTCGGGTATCCGGTAGCCCTGATGCTGCTTCCAGGGGTCTTGCTGGTGTAGGCATAGCGTTGAGTCCTAGGGCAGAATTATCTCTCCTAGACTGGATCCCAGTAGATAGTCGTTTGTGCGCTGTCCGACTAAACGGGACAGTAAGGACTCGTAAGGATAGGGACACTCGCCGTTGCCTCTTCGTCATATCTGCCTATGCCCCCACTGACTGCAGTGCAGACGAGGTTAAAGATGAGTTTTACAGAAAGCTTTCGGACCTCCTCCAAAAAGCTAAGCGCTCTGACATAGTAATAATGGCTGGTGACTTTAATGCTCAAGTAGGTAGACTAGGTGAAAAGGAAAGACATCTTGGTGGATGTTATGGTGTAGCGACTGAGAGAACAGACAATGGCGACCGTCTGTTGCAACTATGCTCAGATAACCGCCTATTCTTAGCGAACACCAACTTTAGACATAAGGAAAAGCATCTGTTGACCTGGCGACCTCCAAAGTCGTCTCAACGTTGGACTCAACTAGATCACATCGCCATCAGCCACCGATGGAGGGGTTCGATAGAAGACTGTCGCTCGTTCTGGAGCACATGTTTGGATTCAGATCATGCTCTAGTGCGAGCTCGTATCTGTTTAAGGCTTACTGGACGTAGGAAAGACACCGTAAGAAAGCCTCTTAGGGTTTTACTTAATGATAATCAAACCAAGAAAATATTTCAGGAGCAACTAGAAAGAGAGTTAAGCAACCATGCAAGCGATTCCCATCCAGAAGCAGGTTGGTATGATATCAAAAAGGCTGTGGAAACAGCAATGATATCTGCTAGGAAGGTAAACCACAAGGCTAGGATGAATCCGTGGATATCAGTCGCATCCACCGAACTGATGGATGCTCGAAAACGCATCCCACCTGACTCTGAGCATGATGAAGAGCGTAGTCAGCTTAGGCGCAGACTTATAAAAAGTCTGCGTAACGACCGCGAACAGTGGTGGGTGGCGAAAGCAAAAGCGATGGAAAAGGCAGCGGCGATAGGCAACACTAGACAACTTTTCCGCCTTATCAAAGAAACCGGTATTAAGAACCCGAATGTGAGTGAGACTATCTCGGAAAAGGATGGTCTTATTATCCATTCTCAATGCAGGAGACTGGATCGATGGGCAGAACACTTTAGGGATCAGTTCAACTGGCCACGAGCCACTCTTCAGTTACCCACGATCTCCAGTCATCCTGAATGGCAAATCGACGTAAGTCCCCCTGGTCTTTATGACGTTGAGAAAGCGTTGGGAAATCTGAAACGAGGACGAGCTGCAGGTCCTGATAGACTGACCCCTGAGATATTCAGGGATGGTGGTCCAGTTTTAGCAGCTAGATTGACTGAGATCTTAGGTAAAATCTGGGAACTGGACGTAATCCCATCCGACTGGTCTCGATCCTTGATTGTCCCAATCTATAAGAAAGGACAAAAGTCTTCTTGTGACAATCACAGAGGAATAAGTCTAACTAATATAGTATCTAAAATATTGGCCTCAATAATACTTCGACGCTTAACGAAAGCTCGTGAAGAGCAGACTCGAGAAAACCAGGCTGGTTTTCGACCTGGACGTGGCTGTATAGACCACGTCTTCACACTCAGACAGGTCCTGGAACATAGACACACATTTAGGCGTCCTACAATAGTTGTTTTCCTAGACCTTAAGGCGGCATTTGACTCTGTTGATCGTGAGGTTCTGTGGCAGTGTCTGTCATTGAAAGGTGTACCACAGAAGTACATTAACCTTATACAAGCTCTTTACTCGAACACCACTGGTCGGGTGAGGGCTTATGGCGAACTGTCACCGGAATTCTCTACATCAAGTGGTGTCCGTCAAGGATGTCCACTTTCTCCATTCTTGTTTAATTTTATCATAGACATGCTCCTAGACATAACATTATCCTCGTCTGAATCTTCAGGAGTAGACCTTCTTCCAGGTGGCTTGCTTATTGACTTAGAATATGCCGATGACATTGTCCTACTTGGTGAAGACGCTGACAAAATGCAGAGTCTTCTGACTACCCTAAGCAACAATGCAAGCATGTTCGGGATGCGGTTTTCCCCCTCGAAATGCAAAATGTTGCTTCAAGACTGGGTTCCATTGGCACCTGAACTAGTGATAGGGAGTGAAGTGGTTGAACGTGTAGACCGCTTCACTTATCTTGGGAGTCTCATCAGTGCCGATGGCCCGGTGACTGACGAAATCTCAGCTCGGATACAGAAGGCTCGATTGGCTTTTGCCAACCTGCGTCACTTATGGCGTAGGCGAGATATCCGTTTGCTGACTAAAGGACGAGTGTACTGCGCAGTAGTTCGCTCCGTCTTACTTTATGGCTGTGAAACATGGCCAGTGAGAGTAGAAGATATTCGTAGGTTACTGGTTTTCGATCATAGGTGTCTTCGAAGCATTGCTCGTATATCGTGGGAAACCCGAGTGAGCAACACTGTTATTAGGAATCAGGTGCTAGGTAAGAATGGCAGATCAATAGATGAAGTATTGAAACTTCACCAGTTGAGGTGGTTGGGACATGTGTTGCGTATGCCCAACCACCGACTGCCTCGAAGAGCTTTGTTTTGTAGTGTAGGAGTAGTTTGGAAGAAAGTTAGTGGCGGCCAAACCAAAACATGGCAGAAATCCATGAAGTCATTGACTAGTGGACTTAGCCATGTCGGTAATTGTCAACTATCTGGTTGGGGTCCGCGAGATGATAATAATCGATGGTTAGAGACCTTGAATGACATGGCTCAAAATCGTTCGCAATGGCGCCAGTGCATTTATTCTTTGTGTTCTCTCAAATCCTAATCTTCTGGATTCTTCAACACCTCTAGTTTTGACTTTCTAAACTTATCTCATTGAATCATACTTCTTGAATAATAATATCTAATTCTAACCTCTCCGAATACTTCTAATACCTTTACTACCTCTTCTACTATTGGATTTGAATTGACGATTACTTCTCTGTGCTGATGTGGTATGGCAACATGAACTGATGTACTTATGTACAAAGTTCTACGTTGCATCTGACTGACTTTATCTTCATATCACTTATAATGCATAAATAAATGAAATCACTTCATGTCTAAATTTTGAGTCAATCAGTCAGTTAGTTACAACGTAGAATTTCCTACGTACGTACATCAGTTAAAGTTGCCATAACACATTGGCACCGAGAGACGCTATTGTCAATTCACATCCCATAGTAGTAGAGGTCGAGTAGAGGTATTAGCAGTAATCGGAGAGATTAGGTTTCAGCGATATTGTTCGAGAAGTAGAATCTAGTGAAAGAAACTTAAAGAAAAAGATAAAGGTGATGAGGAATTCAGAAGGTTAGAATTTCAGATAAACCAAAGAATGGATGTACGTGCGCCATTGCAGATGATTTTGAGCCATGTTATTCAAGGTCTCACAAACCATCGATTACTATCATCTCGCAAATCTCAACCAGGTAGTCGACACTTACCAACATGAGTGAATCCAGTAATCAGTGACTTCATGGATTTGTGTCATGTTTTGTTCTTGTCGCCCCTAGGTTTCTTACGACCTACTGCTACACCACAAAACAGCTCGTCGAGGCAGTTGGTGGTTAGGCATACGTAACACATGTCCTAACCACCTCAACGGATGAAGTTTCACCACTTCATCTATTGATCTAGCATCCTTACCTAGAACTCGTTTCCTAACGACAGCACTGTTTACTCGGTTGTCCCACGGTATACAAGCAATGCTTCTTAAGCATCTATGATCGAATACTAGTAACCTACGGAAGTCCTCTACTCTTAACGGCCATGTTTCACAGCCATATAAGAGAACGGAGCGAACTGCTGCGCAGTACACTCGTCCTTTGGTTAGCGAACGGATATCACGTCTAAGCCATAAGTGACGCAGGTTGGCAAAAGCCAATCGAGCCTTCAGTATCAGCGCTGAGATTTCGTCAGTCACCAGGCTATCAGCACTGATGAGACTTCGTAGACAAGTGAAGTGATCAGCACGATCGACAACTTCACTCCCTATCACTAGTTCAGGTGCCGATGCAACCCAGTCTTGAAGCAACATTTTGCATTTCGAGGGGGAAAACCGCATCCCGAATATGC